CACACACATATATGAGTAGGGAGAACACCAACTAAATCACTAGAGGATTGGATTCGGGGTGAGTCTTCTAACCAGTTTTCTACCAAGAAAACGAATTCTACCTACAAACAAAACTGGCCACGACGACGACAATTGATCTGCTGCCGAGGAATCCACCAGGGGGCGCCCTAGCGCTTGCGGCACGCACTGATATGTAGAACGACGCCCGAGCGTTCCGCCGACGGTTCAAGGTCGCGGTGGCACTTGAGTATGCTGCAGATAGAGAGACTGCGATTGGCCGACGTTATACGGCGGCGCCATGTGCAGGCAGAGACTGTGATTGGCCGACGTTATACGGCGTCGCTATTTGCCGGCTCGGAGTCGACCTTGCTGTAGTTGACCATGGCGACGACCTTTCCACTGGCGTTAACGCCATATGGCGACGTGTTGAGCGGCAGCGCCGGCGCCCCCTGCTGGTGGTGAGGCAGCCGCAGGATGGGCGTCGTCAGGGTAACCAGTCGCTGCAAGTGAGAGGGAGAGAGAGAGGCTGTGGGCGAGTCGAGCAAGTGTGCGTGCACAAGCATTCCATGAAGGTGAATCGGGGGATGGGGGAAGACCCTTCCCAGTTTCCCAGGTAAAAGAAACATCATTTCATTTCCCGTAAGTCACAAGTAATTAATTTCCCAGTTCCAATGTTAATTAAAATCGTTAATTAATTAAAATTCCGGGGTGTCATTTCCGCGGACCGGTCAACTTCCAGAATCACGAAGAATTGATCTGAAATTTCTCGGTTCCCAGATAATTAAAATGGTCCCTGCATGTGTCTGCGTGTGCGTGCGTGTAGGATCATGCAAGCATGTGTGAGCACGCACGTATGTGCACGTACGTGTGCGTGCGTGCGTGTAGGTTCATGCATACATGTGCGTGCATGTGTGAGCACGCACGTATGTGCACATGCGTGCGTGCGTGTGTGCGTGAACATGTATGCGTGCGTGCGTGCGTGCGTGAACATGTATGCGTGCATGCGTGCGTGCGTGCGTGCGTGAACATGTATGCGTGCGTGCGTTCGTGCATGCGTGCGTGAACATGTATGCGTGCGTGCGTGCGTTCTTGCGTGCGTGCACATGTATGCGTGCGTGCGTGCGTGCGTGCGTGCGTGCGCGCGTGTTACAGGGCTGCTCACCTGCCGTAACGATCCGTGGGTCGTCAGCAGGGCGTAGGCGGCGTAGATCGGCACCTGGATCATGGAGACGAGGCCGAAGCACCAGCCGATACCCTGCGCCCACGCTGGGTAGTTGTAGGTGATCGCTCCCGTTTTGATCGACAGCGGCGTATGCCGGATTATGCTGAACAGGAGGATTCCCTGAAAGCAGGAAGTGATGGCGATTACAATAAGGAACAGGAGGATTCCCTGAAAGCAGGAAGTGATGGCGATTACAATAAGGAACAGGAGGATTCCCTGAAAGCAGGAAGTGATGACGATTACAATAAGGAACAGGAGGATTCCCTGAAAGCAGGAACTGATGGC